TAGAGCTGTCAGCACAGAGCCCGATGTGGGGCTCGAACTCACAAACCGTGAGATCATGACCTGAACTGAAGTCGGACGCTCAACCGACTGAGCCACCCAGGCACCCGCCCTAAAGATTTTATTTTCAATCTCTACACCCAACATGGGGCTCAAGCTGACAACCCCAAGATCGAGTTGCACACCCTCCCAACTGAGCCAGCCAGGCACCCCAGTCATACCACTTTTAGATGATAAAAACCTTTTGAATTTAAAACTTTAGCAGAGGCATGCTCCTTCCTGTCCCATAGCCTTTCCTCCTTGTGGGCAATTGAGCTAGCTCTTGTGTTGCCCAAGGCTTGAACCCCTTCCAGCTTCTGGGCTCCTACCCTTGTAGCTCCTTCTCTCCCTAATGCACCCTCTTCTTGCCACCAAACCTCCCCTCCCCACTCTGGTCCCCCAATCGCAGCACAGCTGACACATCCCAAGTTGGCTTTCCAAAATGTTCCAGGCCAGGGATGGATCCCTCTGAGTCATCTCACTCTGCCCTGTACTCTTCTTCCTTTGCACACACTGCAGTTTGTTCTTACATATTTGCTTGTATAATTACTTGAACAATGCTTGTCTCCACTTGACTGTACACCCTGTAAGAGCAGGGATTGTGTGTGTTGTGTGCATGTGTGTGTCTTGTGTTTCCTCATCAATGCATTGCCAGCACCTAACCCAATGACTATAAATTTTTTTATGAATGTTTCAGGGAAGTAAGAACTCTCTCTTTCAAAGACTATTGATGCATTTCAACCTTCTAGAAATTAGCTCTTGAGACCAGATGAAATGGTAATGTACTCCGAACTTTATTCACTTAAAATAAGGACTTTACTATACTTTATTTGATCAAAACATTATCTCCACCCCCCCCCCCCCCGTATTTGCAAAGCAGCTTTTCAAACTCCTTATAGAATTTACAAGATGTGTCAACAGTCTACACTCTTTCACGGCATAGCTTGTCTTGGAAAATGAAGATAATTTCTTGAACAGTCCATCAGAGAATTCTCATAAAAATTTGAAAACCTTCCACTGCACAAAAGTTAAGCAATATGCCACAAAAAAGACTTAATGATATAACTCAATAAAAATGTAAAACTGTTCATGTTTAAAGCACAATATAGTCGTGATAGCACACAACTATTAAAAGGAAGGCAGGTGTCTGGGTGGCTCAGCTCATGATCTCAAAGTCCCTGAGTTCAAACTCAGGGACTAGCTTTGGATCCTCTGTCCCCCTCTCTCTGCCCCTCCCTGCTCATGCTCTCTCAAAAATAAAATTAAAAACATAAAAAAAAAGAAAAGATAAAGCTATATGTATTGACAATGGCATATATAAGATATAGTAAGTAAATTGGGGGTGCCTGGATGGCTCAGTCCGTTAAGCATCTGACTTCGGCTCAGGTCATGATCTCATGACTTGTGGGTTCGAGCCCCGTGTCAGGCTCTGTGCTGACAGCTTAGAGCCTGGAACCTGCTTCAGACTCTGCCTCACTCTCTGCCCCTCCCCCACTCGTGCTCTGTCTCTCTCAAAAATAAATAAACATTAAAAAAATATTTAAAAAGAAGGCAGTAAGTGAAAAATCAAGTTAAAAACAACATGTGTATCATATTCTAATTTTGAAAAGAAATGTAATTGGTAGAATATGGATAGGAAAAAACATTTGGAGGAATATACACCAAACTGTCAGTTGGAGAGGGTGAAATTTGGAATTTTTCAGTATTTATGTTTTATATTATTATAATTCTTTTATATTTTTACACTAAACATCTATTACTTTTGTAATGTATTAAAAAAAAAAAGGAAAGAGAAAAATTTGTAAAAGAAAAAGACACTCAATTGGAACTCTTCCAAATGAATAATAAGGTAACACCTAGACAGAAAAACAGGCCAAATACATGAAAAACAGGACATTAAAAAAGGAAATACAAATGATCAATAAGCAGGAGAAAAAATGTTCATTCTTAATGAGAATCAAAAAAATACCAAGCAAAATGTTATTGCAGCCTGTTTTAGTCCATTAAATTGGCAGAGATTTAAACCATTATAATGACCAATAGGTCAGCAATGAGTCACACAGGCCATCTTGTTAGCTGATGGAAACTAACATAGATGGATACAGCCTTTCAGAGGACAGTCTGGTAATCTGTATTAAAAAACCTGAAAATACATATACTTAATTCAATTTCTAGGAATTTATCCTACAAAAGTAGTCATAAACACCACAATTTATATGCCAAGAATATTTGTACACAGCTATCAGAGGAAAATTAGAAATATTGTTATTATCTATCAAAACGATATGAGTTAAATTAATCCTGGTACCTTCATACAAAATAATAATATGTAGCCATTTTTTAAAGTTTATTTATTTTGAGAGAGAGAGAGAGAGAGAGAGAGAGAGCAGGGAGAGGCAGAGAGAAAGAATCCCAAGCAGGCTCCAGTACAGAGCCTGATGCAGGGCTCTATCCCGTGAGTCATTAGATCATGACCTGAGCTGAAATCAAGAGTTGGACGCCTAACTGACTGAGCCAACCAAGCGCCCCAATATGTAGCCATTTACAAAATGATTTAGAAGACTATTTAACAACTTGAAAAATTAATGTCTCTTATAAGTGGAGAAAAGCAAATTTCAAAAGGTGTATATATATAGCATAACACAGATTGTGTGCGCACGCATACATATGCACATATTAAAAAGACTGATCACGATGTCAACAATTGTTATCCATAGTAGTATAAAGTGGAAATAACCTTTATTTTGTCCTGATTCTTCACTGGATTTTTCAAAGTTTCTCTAATGGTTATATGATGTATATCTTTATAGTCCTAAAAAAAAGTTCTTTTAAAAGTTGCTGGCCTATGCTTTGGAAAAAAACTTGGCAGTTCCTCTAAAAATTAAACAGAGTTAAGTATATGATCTGACATGTCTGCTCCTAGATATATTCCCAAGAGAATTGAAAGCATATGTACAGAGACACCTGGGTATCTCAGTCAATTAAGTGACCAACTCTTGGTTTCAGCTCAGGTCATAATCTCATGGTTTGTGAGATTGAGCCCCACATTAGGCTCTGTGCTAGATTAGGATTCTGTGCTAGAAAAGGTTCTCTCCCTCTGTCTCTGCCCCTTCCCTGCTTGTGCACTCTCTCTCTCTCTCTCTCAAAATAAATAAACATTTAAAAAATTAATTAAAAAAAAGAAAGCATGTGTACAAACAATAACATATATGAATGTTCATAGCAGCATTATGTAAAATACTCCCCCCCCCAAATAGAAGTAACCCAAATGCTCATGAACTGATGGATGAATATGCAAAAGGTGGTATGTCTATTCAAAGGAATAGTATTCAGCTGTGTAAAGGAATGATACTGATTCATGCTACAGCATGGATTTTAACGACTACATGATACTGAATGTGAAAGAAGCTTGTCAAAAGGCCATATATTGATATATTGCAGGAGTCCATTCAGATGAATTGTCCAGAAAAAGCATATAAAAATCATATAAATAGAAAGTTGATGAGTGGTTGCCAGGGACAGGGGAGAAGGAAGAATGATGAGTGGCCGCTAATGAGTACAGGGGGTAATGAAATAATTCTGGAATTAGATAGCGGTGATGGTTGCACACAACCTTGTGAATATGCTAAAGCCCACTGAATTTTAACAATTCAAAGAGGGAGAATTCTATGGTATATGAATTATAGCTCAATTTTTAAATGTGGGAAAAGTTTCCTAGAAAAGAATAACAGCATTTTAAAAGTATATATTACTTTATAAACATAACCTACAGAGTGATAACTGCTGTGGTAGAGGGTGGGAACATACAGGGAAAACATCTAACAGTACCTGGGGGCAGAGGAGGCCTCCATTAAAACAGAGACTCTCAAACATTTTGAAAATAATAAATAAAAAGAAACTTTTTCTAAGTTTATTTTTGGGAGAGAAGAGAGCACAGGAGCATGAGCAGGGGAGGGTCAGAGAGAGAGGAGGACAGAGGATCTGAAGCAGGTTCTGCGCTGACAGCAGAGAGCCCAATGCGGGGCTTGAACTCACGAACCATGAGATCATGACCTGAGCCGAAGTGGGACGCTTAACCAACGAAGCCCCCCAGGTGCCCCAAAATAAACTTTATTTATTAATTCATCTAAAAATAACCAATAAATAATCTAATCATATCCAAATACAAATATAACATTATTATTATAATATATTATTATAAATAATAACAAAAAATAATCTAATCATAATCCATTGTATCACTCAGTTCTCTCAATGATGACATCGTATGTAATTGCAGGACATTCTCAAAACCAGGAACCTGATGTTACAGAATTCAGCTGTCTACAGACATTGTTCAGGATTTACCAGATTTTGCACGGACTCCTTTCTAAAAAACAATTTTTTAACTGAAAAGACAATATAACAACACTTAAAATTTTTAAATAAATGGTTACAACTACCCATAATGTTACTATAAAACCAGCCTGATTACCTTATTCAGAAATATATTAAAATTTTATCATAAGATAGTTTAAATACACAAAAAAGTTATATAAAAAATAGCTATGTGCCCACATTATCTCCATGTATGTTTTTACACCTTTACTACATATGTAAATATCCGTGAAAATAAATAGTATTACTTTACACAACTAAAAACCTTATATAATAATCGTGTCACAATACACAAGGATGTGTATTTTTAAGAATAGATGTTTCTATCATAGTAACACACACTGTCAGTTGCTGGTTGAGGAGGGAACTTTGCCACCCTCTCTGCCCACCAAGGGGTTATCATGGAGGTCAGAGCTGAGGCTCTAGTGAGGACTTGGATTGGAATCCAGGGTTGTTTTCTTCTTCTTCTTCTTCTTCTTCTTCTTCTTCTTCTTCTTCTTCTTTATAGAATTTTTTTCATTCTTTTCATTAATTATTTTGAGAGAGAAAGAGAACACATGGAAGTCAGGGAGGGGCAGAAAGAAAGGTCAGATCCTGACCTGAGCCAAAATCTAGGGTGGGACACTTAAACAACGGAGCCACCCAGGCACCCCTGGAATCTGGAATCTTCTATTCACCAACAGTGTAACAGGAGACAAATTACTTCCTCTCTGATTCACAGTGTTCTCATCTGTAAAACAGAGGTAATGACAGTTCCTATTTCATAAAGTGATGAGTAGAAATCAAGGTTATGCATGGGAAATGCTTGGTATGGTGAAACACAGTACCTAGAAGTGTCAATAGGTGTTACTATCATTGTCATCTTTATTATTGCAGATACGAACTCAGACATGGATCTAACGTTCTTCCCACAATGAAACAGAATGTTGCGTTTAATACCCAGAGCCAACTCAGAGTAAGAGAGTATTTCGTGCTTTCTGCCTTCTCCCTGTGACGTGCTGCTAGTTAACATTCAGCTTTGGCAAAGGTCTGGGATGGGAAGCCGTGCTTTATAGTGTTTACCAATTTCTATGGTGTAAAAATACTCCCACCCTGGTAGATTTCAACCTGAAGTTCACTGAATGCAGAGGCAGAAAGAGATGATCACAATCTTCTCTCTCAAGTTCATGGAGCCTGCCCCGGCACACCCAAGAGGTAATCTCTCTTCTCTTTTGCAGTCCCCTTGTTCCCTGATGAAACCAGATCTCTTCCCTCTCAGGCGGAGGACCTGTATGTCTCCCTGCTGTCCTCCTGCAGAGGTAAGAGGCTGTGCCTGGAAGTTAGAGGAAGTCTTCAGGCCTGAACCTCAAAGCGGTGCTCAGGCCCAGCTCACCAGACTGTCCATAGCAAACGGTATTTTAATTCTCATTTGCTAGTGTTCCCCACATGTCTACTGCCCTCGGGGGATCTTGGCTGTGGCTGTAGCTGTGACTTGGGTAAGACTGCTATCTTTGGATCACATCAACATAATGCCTTCTTAAGACCAAAAGCTCCTTACCTATTTTTAACATGTAGCATTTATATATGGCACTATTTTTGCTTAGGAAATTAATCATTTTTGTGTCTTTCCACAGTCTTCAAAATGATACTTTTTGATAACTACATAATTCCATTAATACACTTAAAATAAGGTGTCTGTAAAGGAAAAAGAACCAGGGGGCAAACACCGGGGAAAGAATAAGAATTTCAAGAACTGAGTATAGTCTTGAATATTAGGAAGAGAAGTAAAGTGAACCATTGAATCTTCCAATTAGGTCACTAATGATTTTAGGAAGAGAAAGTTAATCTCTGTCCTGGGGGCAGAAGTAGGCAAAGACAGCGAAGGAATTAAGATCACATATTTGCCGAGTGCCAGAGACTATGGTAGATGCTTTTCTTGCATGACCTCATATGGAAGTTACGGCGAAGAAACCGAGGCTTGGAGTCATTCACTAACCGGCCCAAGGTTGCCCAGATCAGTCTTCATTTTATTGCAGTCAGGAGTGAATGAGAATGAAGACAGTAGAGACAGGAAGTATGAATAATTCTTTCTGGAATCATGATGGGGAAAGAAGAGAAAGCCAGGTGTAAGGACATGGAATCACTGCTTTTATAATAAAAACAAAGCTCAGTTCCTCCAAGGCTGACACTGAAAAACAGCCCTCACGTGACTGCCAGGCCAGAAGCAGAGACCGCCAAACCCTAAACCCTGTCCCGGAGATTCATCTCTCTTCTGGGAATCTTGGCCTCATTATCTTTGCTCCAGCAAAGCCTGCTCAGATCTTTCTTCCTTTCCTATCTGAGACGCCAGCACAAGGTAACAAAAGGCATTTTTTTTTTAATTTTTTTTTAACGTTTATTTATTTTTGAGACAGAGACAGAGCATGAATGGGGGAGGGTCAGAGAGAGAGGGAGACACAGAATCTGAAACAGGCTCCAGGCTCTGAGCGGTCAGCACAGAGCCCGACGCGGGGCTTGAACTCACGGACCATGAGATCATGACCTGAGCCGAAGTCGGACGCTTAACTGACTGAGACACCCAGGCGCCCCAAAAGGCATTTTTTAAAATTGAAGTATGGTTGACACAATGTTACACATAAAAGGCATTTCCTAACATCCCATGGCAAAACCAAATCAAAGCTAGAAAGTTTAAATGAAAGGGTAACGTTTCCTAACCTTGGCTGGTCATAGAAACTGCCCGGAATGTCAGGAGATTTGGATTCAGATGGTCTATAGTGGCAGCCTGGCAATGGGTGTCTTAAAGTAATTCCAGTTTATCCTTAAATTCCTGCAAGTTTGGGTATCACTGCACTGGCAAGTAACAGAGCAATAAACATAGTAACATACATCCGTGTGGTCTGGCTCCCAAGACAAAGCGTGCTTACAACCGTGTTGAGGTCCTCACCCTCATCTCATGGGTTTGATGCTACATTGGCACATGCCGGCTTCTTTAAACTCCGATCTGGGCCCAACAGAGGGAAGCCCTTGGCCAAATCCCAAGGTGGCAAGGAAGGAGGGAAAGAGGGCTTCTTCCATTCTTAACACTTCCCAAAGACTGGGTCATTAGTTCCTAACCAGCTTACCAAAACAGGCAAGGCCTGACTTCACCCGCCCTGTCCCCTTCTTTCCTGTCATCGCTCCAGCAGGAGGAATGGTGGCAGCCTGATGGCAGCCGGCTCTCTGCCACCCGATCCTCAGTCTCACCACGAGTGAGTCTTAGGGAGGGTGACCAGACATCCAGGCTTGCCCGGGGTTAGTCCTGACCTACCACTCCCAAGAGCCCAGAGTCCTGTCTGGTTCGCTGTACTCTTTCATTCTCAGAAGGGTCCCAGTTTGGATGATAAATTATATAGTCACACTGTCTATGAATGACGAGCTAGAACAAAAACAGGAGTGCACAAAAGCAAGTAGTAGTCTGCCAGCAATTTACATAATGACTTCCATTTATCAAGCAAATGACTCTGTGACACCACACACATCACTTCAATTAACCCTCACAGCAACCCCGGGAGGGACAAGGATTTTGCAAATGAGGGAAGTACCAGGGTCAAGCGCCTTGACCAGAGCCATCCAACTATGAGGAGCAGAACTGGATTCAAACATCCATCTGCATGACCCCAACTTCTGCCCTGAAAGGGGCCTGGCTGACTCTTCAGGGCATGTGGACACCGCCCATCCCCCCGCCCCGCCCCCTGCCCCAGTCTCTGACCCTGTGAAGAAACAACTTTACCAAGAAAGCCGGTCACTTTCCACACTAAAGGAAAACTCTCAGTATTCACATTTTCATCTCACATTTGAGAGTAGAAATCTGCTTCTGCAGCTGCTGTCGCTTGCTTGTTTCTGTAACCTGATTTGAAAGACCACTCCCAAGAGAAGCAACCAAGTCTGCAGAAGCACAGTTTGACTCAAATGGATCCAACCCGTTCGCAAATGGAAAATAACACTGAGGAATCAGTTTTGCATCACAGGCATTGCCGCTTTGCGTTGTTCCTAATGGCACCGAGGACTTAAATGTAACCCAGCCAATGGATTAAAATCCTTGCTTTGTATTTGCATGATTTAATCTTCTAAACCTATTGTTCTCCCAGTAGAGGTGACTTTAAATTTTAGCTTTCACAGGGGCACCTGGGTGGTTCAGTTGGTTAGGCTTCCGGCTTCGACTCAGGTCGTGATCTTGTGCTTTGTGAGTTCAAGCCCCACGTTGGGCTCTGTGCTGACAGCTCAGAGCCTGGAGCCTACTTAGGATTCTGTGTCTCCTCCTGTCTCTGTCCCTCCCTGGCTTGTGATCTGTTTCTGTCTCTTAAAGATAAATAAACATTAAAAAAATATTTTTAAAATTTTAAACTTTACTTTCATCACCAGATTGTCTGCAGTTTCCATTCCCCCCCTTTATAAGACAAATGGGTATTTTTTTGCATTTTAATTTTTTATTCCAAAAGCACTCCCTTAATGCATTCTCTTTGACACACACACACACACACACACACACACACACACACATCACACATAGGCTTAAGTGACCTTTGATCAATTACTCCAGTCTCAGACCTGTACACTGTTACTGATTTGGTTTTTTGTCCTTCTAGATATTTTTCTACTCAGGAAATTATTTTCTTCTACTTTCTGCCTTTTGCAATAAAGCTTCCAATATAACTGCTTTTCCCTTCCTCCCCTCAAACTCCATCATGAGGAAGCAACTAAAATCTCAGAGGTTGAGATCTCCGGGGGAGTTGTGGCGGCCCCCTTCTCTCTGTCTAGTCTGTCCTTCACCCTGTTGAGTGCTTAAGAGCAAAAGCTCCAGAGTCAGAGTTCTGGGAGTGAATCGTGGCTCCATCACTTACTACCTGAGTGACCTTGGGCAGGTTCATTCATTCACTTTTTGTTCAGTAAATATTTATTGAGCGCCCATTAAGTGTTAGGGATATAATGGTGCACAAGACAATATTCTGACCCTTACAGAGTTTGTATTCTAGTGGGAAACACAGAATATAAGCTTATGAATGAATAGAGCATAATTCTAGGATGCAATAAATGCCATGAAGGAAAATGAAACAGAGTCAGGGGACAGATACCACCTTTTTCAATGTAGGTGATCAGAGAAAACTTCCCTGAGGACATGACGTTAGAGCAGAGAGCTAAGTAAAGTCAGAGAACAAGCCATGAAAAGTTGTGAAGAGAATGGCAAGTACAAAGGCCCTGAGGCAGAAACCAACTTCAGGCGTTGGAGGAACAGCAGGAAGGCAAGTGAGCTGAAACAGTGTAGGAGAGAGAATGGTGGTGCGTGAAGCATTCTGCTTTCCACCACCACCCCCGTCTTCTTACCCTTCTTGTACCCCAACCCCCAAACTTCTGCATATCCCTGTAGTACCCCAACTCCAGCTCTGTGGGTCCGACAGCCTACTGTTTTCCTACCTTTTTTTTTTTTTTCAAATTTTTTTTCAACGTTTATTTATTTTTGGGACAGAGAGAGACAGAGCATGAACGGGGGAGGGGCAGAGAGAGAGGGAGACACAGAATCGGAAACAGGCTCCAGGCTCCGAGCCATCAGCCCAGAGCCCGACGCGGGGCTCGAACTCACGGACCGCGAGATCGTGACCTGGCTGAAGTCGGACGCTTAACCGACTGCGCCACCCAGGCGCCCCTGTTTTCCTACCTTTTTATTGCTCCTCCCCTCTCTCATATCCTCACTTCCCTCCTTAACCAGCTTAGTTCCAAAGTCCAGTATAATAACTTCTCCCTTGCATAAACACTCAACCCCTCAGCTGCCCATCATCTTTCTTTCCTCAGACTTGTAACACTTCCTCCCCCAATCCTCGTCTTCGCTGACAGACTTCCTGTTTCGCCGAGAAAATAGAAGCAAGCCAGAGAGGATTCCACAAGCTCCCACCTGCACTTGTCCCCCATCCCTGCCTTCTGTCCTGTGGGTGCCAGGGAGGAAGGCCCTCCTGCAGGTGCACACACTCCATCCCTCCAGCCTTCTCTGGTGAGTGTCCTTCTTTCTCCTTCATGGTGCCATCAGCAGGACTTTCCTCCACTGTCACAAGGCCACCTCCTGATGACCCACCTGCCCCTGTAGCCACCACCTCATGTTTCTGACCGTCTCTACAGCACAACCACTTTTGCTCACCACCTTCACCTTCTCTTTCTGCATCCCCTCTGAACCCTTGCCAGCCTGCTGTGTCCCACTGTCCCACTGAAACTCCTCGTTTGCTAAGCCTTCCACGTTGGCAGACCCAATGCTTGATCCTCATTTCCCAGACCTGTGGCAGCATGGGAGCCCTCTTCCTGCACTGCCCTGGCCTCCAGTATTGTTCCTGTTTCTGACTCCAAGCAAGGCTCCCTGCAACCACTCCTGCCCATCTTCACAGGCACATCTCTGACCTGCTCATATTCCTCCCCTGCTGCCCACCCACTCAGTCTCCAAGCCCTGGGTGGGGCAGGGAACTCCAAGTTCCTACATGGACTGCCCTCTCCCCAAACCACCCCCAGGACCTCTCTGACCTCTGCTTACTGCCATACCTTACTCTCTGTGCTCTAGACACGTCTGCCTCATTGCTGTCCCACAAACACGCCAAGCACACTCTTCCACAGGGCCTTTGCACTTGCTCTTCCCTCTGTCTAGAATGTTCTTCCTCCAGAATCCACTTGGCTCACTCCTTTGTCACCTTCATGTTTCTGCTCTAGTGTCACTTTCTTGGGAGGACCTTCCTGGCCATCCCCTCAGCCATCCTGGTGGCCCCTCACTGCCACTCAGCACTCCTTAGTCTCCTTTTCTTTCTTTTTTTTTTTAAGTTTTTTTTTTTATTAATCTCTACATTGTGGGGCACAAACTCATGAGGTCAAGAGTCACATGCTCTACCAAATGGATCACCCAGGCTCCCTCCTATTCTCCTTTTCTACTTCATTTTTCTCCATAGAACTTACTACTATCTGATAGCCTAGACATTTTTTTAATTACTGTTTCCTCCCACTAGAATGTAAGCTCTATGAGTTAAAGTTTAAAAAGACCACTCTTGCGGGGGGTGGGGAGAGTTGCGCCTTGGTGGCTCAGTTGGGTGAGCGTCCAACTCTTGATTTCGGCTCAGGACGTATCTCACAGTTCATGAGTTCAAGCCCCACATCAGGCTCTGTGCCCTGACATTGTGGCACCTGCTCGGGATCCTGTCTCTCCCTCTGTCTACCTCTCCCCGACTTGCTCTCTATCTCTCTCTCAAAATAAACTTCGAAAACCTTAAAAAAATTAAAAAATTAAAAGACCACTCTGGGGAGATACAGGCATCCAGTTACAGAATGAATTCAGCATGGGGATGAAAGTTATGGCAGAGGGAATATAGTCAGCGACATTTTAATAGTGCTGCATAGTGACAGATGATGGTTACACTGTAGTGAGCACAACATCAAGTTTTGAGAAGTGAAATCAACTATCTTGTACACCTAAAACCAATGTAACACTGTGTCAACTATACTCAAATAAACACATTTTTAAAAAAGAAAAAGAAAAAGGCCACTCTGGCTGCTGTGTGTAGGGAAGACTGTACTGGGCTGGGGGCGGGGTGGCAGTTGAAGGGTAAGGCAAAATCCAAGCAAGATAGATAATGAGGCCCTGAGCTAAGGTGGAAAAAGGTTAGGGGCTCCTGGGTGGCTCGGTTGGCTAAGCGTCTGACTTCGGCTCAGGTCATAATCTCACAGTTCATGAGTTTGAGCCCCGCATAGTGCTCTCTGCGGTCAGTGCAGAGCCTGCTTCAGATCCTCTGCCCCTCTCTCTCTCTCTGCCCCTTCCCTGCTCCTGCTCTCTCTCTCTCTCCCTCTCTCTTTCTCTCTCTCAAAAATAAATACACATTAAAAAATATATATGAAAAAAAGGTCAGAGTTTTGGATGTATTTTGGAATTATCACAGACAGAGAGAACTTGTTATAAATTGGATGAGGGGTCTGAGAGAAAAGAGGAATTTGGTTTGGGGCCTCAGTGCTTTCTGAGATTGTTTCCCTAACTGTAAAATGGGGACAATTAGAATGTCCCCCTTGTGGAACTGTTGCAGAAAGGGATAGAAGACATCCAGTCTCACACAGCGTTGGGCACATAGTAAACGCTCAGTAAACGTTGGCGCTTATTACGGCCCCAAAGATGACCGTGTTTCCCTGCTTCCTGGGTAAATAGGATTACAGAAATATCCACCCCACAGAGACTGAGGAAACAAAACACTTTTTGTCGAGTGCACCCTCCCCTCCCAAGGGATGGGCTTTTACTTTATTTAACAGAATACTTAACATTAGTGTTGGAACAGTTTACTTGCACACAGATACATAAAAGGATTCCTCACATTTCAAAAGAATCCTAAATCGCCTTTAGGTAGTGTTTGTCCATTCGATACTTAGCAGGAAGAGTAACTAAACGCTGAAATTACAAACCTCTGCCGATTAAAAATCAATCCAAATGTAAGAAAAGCACATCTGAAATAATAATGATTTTTCAGGTATTTGCTGCATTTTAATACACTAGATGCAAAAATACCACACTGCCTGGTTCAATACCTGGCAACACTCTTTGTCAGTGTAGCTCAGCTTTCTGCAAAGGCAACACCCAGCCCTTTTTGGCTGCCTTGGCCTGTCCTCATTTCCCCCTGGAAAACTGTTTTAAACCTAGCACAGATACCATTCTGCCTGTCTTCCACTTAGCAGCTTCTCTCAGTGGGTCAGCTGGTTTCACAAGTGCTTCTGTGGGCTAGCCCTGTATCTTCTTTCCAAACCTCTCAAAGGCAGCCTCCAGGTTGCCCGTGAAAAGCTGCCTGTGGGGAATTTAGGGGCTGCTCTGGGACCTTCAGGGACCTTCCTGCTAGCATCTCTGTCCCACCAGATCTCCCTGATTATTATCTCCGTGATTATTATTCCCTCCACTCATTGGTGGACCAGCCATTCTTCTTCTTAGCTGCCAGGCACCCTGGGAGATTGGTGAGGAGTCCCAAAATCTGAGGCGCCTTTCCCTCCCTGCGCCATAACTGAACTTCTCCTTAAATGCTTATACTACCTGGGAACCTGAAAAAAACAACCTTAATTTTGAACTGGAGCTGAAAGAATTTGCCCAGTGGCTGGGTCTCTGCTCCATGACCTCCAGACTCAACTGGAAAAGACTCTTGCTTCTGAAAGTAGGGTCTTAGATGGACGAGCAGGCTCACCAGGAAACTTGTTAGAAATACAGAATCAGAGGTGGCATTCTGGGCCTGTTGAATCAGAACCTGAGTTTTAACACGACGCCCAGGTAATTCCCACACATCTTCAACTTTGAGAAGCCAGAGAAGTGCTCTGGCCCCTCCCTTCCTTCTTGCTACGGAGAATTCTTGTGTTCTGTTTAAGGGACTTTAAGCCCCAGCCTACTACATTGTGCTCACTTTCCTTCCTTCCTCCCTTCCTCCCTCCCTCCCTTCCTTCCTTCCTTCCTTCCTTCCTTCCTTCCTTCCTTTTCTCCCTCCCTTCATTCCTTTCGTCCTTTCTTTCTTTCTTGATCTCTATACCCAATGTGGGATTCAGGGTTGCATGCTCTATCAACTGAACCTGCCAGGCACCTCGTTTTCACTTTTCACTGAATCCAGAGCCCAGGACTTCCCATACCTACTCTGCCCTTCGCCCTCACAGTCTTTGTTTGTTTGTTTGTTTGTTTGTTTGTTTGTTTTTATGGACCCCTTTCCCTTCTACAGCCCTGTTCCCCCACTCAAGCCTCTGCTCCTGGGGCATTCCCTGGAAGGCAGATTTTTCTGCTGTGCTTCTCCCAAAGTAGAGCCTGTGATACCAATCCGAGGGTCCCCTCTTCTGCACCTCTTAGAGCTGCCTTAACCTGTCCAGTGACAGTCCCTTAAAGCTGGGCCACACTGCCCCCGCCCTGGTCTCTGGATGGATGTGAGAGGTCTCACGCAGAGCAGGGGACTTGCCAAGGCTTACTCTGAAGTTGAGACCTCCCAGCCTTCCCCCACTGCATGGGCATACTGTTCCTTTTCTCTGCCAGCTAGTCCTTACAGCCTCAGCAGAGAAGCAGAACACAAGTAAAGGCTACCTTCAAGTGGAGACGCCCAGGGAAGGAGGGGGATGTGGACCGACAACCAGCTTCAACCAGCTTTGGAAAAAGAGTCAGGACTCCTTGGAAACTAGCCAGCAGGAGGAGCAGGTACATTTAAAATGCTCCAAGCACTTGATTCTTTGAAGATTTGAGGATTTGAGTTTAGGGTTGTTTTTAAGCTTTCCAAATGAGAAAAAAAACATTATCAGAAACCTTTTCTGGACATTGGAAACTAGAGGCTCTCCTAAAATATTAACGTAAGGCTTCTTGGCTCTCAATCTAGTGGTCAGGTTATTTAACCACACATTCTTTCCCACACCTTTATCATTTATTATGCAACCAATTCCCATCCCAAAAGGTATATTAAAAGCCAACTTCCAATCTTTTAAAAAAGTGCCCTTGGAATGTTATCCTCATTATTAAAATAGTGTCTTTCCAAATTTTTATTCAGCAGTTATTACAGGACTTTTTATGTACCAAGCACTGTCCTAGGAGGTTTACAAAAATTAGCTCATTGGATCCTTAAAACAATCTAATAAAATATGTACTGTTATTAACTATGTTTATAGATGAGGAAATTAAGTCACAAAGAGGTTAAGTAACTTGCTTATGGTCACACAGTTAATAAGAACAGAACCAGAATTCATATCCAGAAAGTCTGGGTGGGTCACTAGACTCTGCTGCCTCTTTAAAGGCCTGGGTGTGTGTGTGTGTGTGTTTATTTATATTTATATTTTAAATTTAATTTCAATTTTATTTATATGTAAATATAAAATATAGTTTATTTACTATACAATACATATATATTTTTACATTTACATATTACATATTTTTATATGTATATTATATACATACATAAATCTATATGAGAGAGAGTGTGAAAGAGAGATAGAAGGATTCTAGATGCAGTTTTTCCAAATGGCCACCTTTCCATGTGTTTTCAAAACATGCCTAAAACCCAGTTTTGAAAGAAGTATACTTTTTCTATAGACATATCCTCTTGAGGAGTCTAGAGGACTGTTTCACAAACTTCAGCTTCCTCATCTGAGAAATGTGCTAGCTGGATTAAAGGAACTAGTTTGTCGAATGAGTGTAATGAGCCTTCAGCTTTAAAATTATTAAAATTTCCTGAAAAAATATCCAGGTAATTTTTCCTCTTTAAGTTTGATTCTACCAGAGAGGTCATGGCTTAGTATTCCTTAAGCTAATTCCGGCCTGTTCTTGTGCCCTTGGACTGAACATAACCCAGGCTTGTTCTGTACAATTGGTAACGTCTTAATGCGTATGTGCCAGGTTTAAGTTTAAATTTCTGTAGTCTCAGCTCAGGCCTTGGGTTCACCCAAAAGGTAACGCTCCAGTAAACAAACCCGGGCAAAGGAACGGCGTTCTAGCTACTGATGCAAGTCCGCCCTCTGCTGGCCATATGGAGGTGATGCGGCCTCATGAAGGGACCTCTTCCCCTCTTGGGTACAGCCCAGCTTTAGCCTTTCCCCCTCCTCCTGTAGCATTCCTACGAAGCAACATTTGTTTAGCACATATCCTGAGCTAGGCACAAGTGTGCTTAGGGCTGGAGATCAAAGATAAATAAAACTGTCGCAGCCTTAAAGGATCTCACAGTCTATCGGGGCACACCCAAATCAGATCATTATAATTCAACTTGAGAGTTGTGTTACTAGAACTGTGCCTCCTGTACCATAAGTTTGCAACCACAAGTGGCATACAAGAGCCCAAATCAAACACCACAGTACAATGCCCTTTTGTTAGGGAGGGAGGACTATGAC